CCGTTTTTTGAGAATACACTGCGTACTGATATTCTGACATCTCAGAAGAATAGCGTAGTATCCTGCAACTAGAACTTTAGAGAATGAATTTATGAAACATTTATGGATGACAGATAGCTAAAGCCTTCAAGCTAGATAGCTAGCTTAAAGCAGATAGCTGTTAGAGCTTTGTTAGTTCTGCTGATGTTTATAAACAATGCAAGCCACTAACAATTCAACTCTGATTCACGCCGACCTCTGCAACATCAATAACCAGTTGTGCCTGTTATGATCTGCCATTCCTGGCAGCTCATAAGATTGTGTTTTCTTCTTCTTTTCCTTTCTTTCTGTTATTGCGCAACTCTTGCTTCATAATGGGATTTTCCTAAAGTATTTCTGTTCTTATGTAACTCATGCGCAACTCTTGCATAACTGTTGTTCGACTTGTGTACTATATATAGCCGTTCACTTTCTTAAATAAAGATGAGAAGTNGCACTAGCCGGCCGGTCGTCTTTTCCATCACGATGCGGTGCGGTTCGGATGATGAAACATTTATTTGGCTCGGAAGTTTGTCCTCGTCTTCTGATCATCGTGTATCATCGACCAGGCAAATTACAAGACAATGAAGAAAGAAGCGGCACAATGGCGTGCTGCGTCGTATGTTTACTCAATGGATGGTATCTCCTCTTCGAGCAATTTGACGATTGGTCTTTGGTGGTGGCAACCAAGAGGCTTCAAATGAATGACTTTGCCTCGACCAACTACACCGTCGACATTTAGGCAAGTCAAAGCTACTTCGAGGGTGGCAACTCGAAGGCCAAACGAACACTTAGCCTCGACGATCAGACAGATTCGGCGTGCCGAAGAGAAAACATCCTTAGAACTTCAATGCAAAGAAATTCATAAACCGTATTGGAACTTACACTCATAAGTTAAAATATGATGACTCGTTTTGACACCCTCAGAGAGTGGCAATAGCCATTCCGAACAATTAACATGTTTTCATGCAGACGTCTGGTCTTTACAAGTACCTCGTTCTTAAGTTATGCAATTCGACAGTAGTAACATCTGCAGATATGATTCAAGAAAGCTATATAATCAAAACTAAAGTTCTGAAACAACCATAATCGTATAACACTTTTATACAGGAGTTGCCTAATTCGAATATAATTCACGAAAAGAGTCTAATCCAAGTTCGAAAAAAAGCTGTCCGATTTCGAAACCGAATTAGGATACACACATTACTGCAAAAGTCAAGACAAAAGAAAATCTTTTCATCATAGTTCCAATCTCAAGTTTGATGTATCGTAATTCGAATTCGAACATCGATGAAAAAATTCGAATAAAAAAATTTTCTAAACTTTTACAGTAAAGTGTCTGTCCCAATTCGAACTCGAACTATGATGCATTGCAATTCGAATTCGAACTATGATGAAAAAAAATTTTTTTTCTAAACTTTTACAGTAAACTGTCTGTCCCAATTCGAATTCGAACTATGATGCATTGCAATTCGAATTCGAACTATGATGCATCGCAATTCAAATTCGAACTATGAGGAAAAAAAATTTTTTTCTAAACTTTTACAGTAAAGTGTCTGTCACAATTCGAATTCGAAATCCGACCGCTTATTTTCGAACTAGGATTATGCTCTTGTTTCGTGAATTATATTCGAATTCGAATTAGGCAACTCATGATAAAACTACCATACAAAAAAATAACAACTATTTTCTTATTTGCTACAGCGACTCATATACGTTCGAATAGAAAAGAATAAATGGTAAACTGATGAATGACCGGGTAATGCCGAAATATTCAAACAAAGTAAAGGATATAATAAAATTCAAATCAGGTGCATTATTAATCCTGTTTTTGACACAGAGTTCTCTCTTGGAATTTATTTTAGTAATTTACATCATGTTGCAATTTCTTTTGCTGAAAAGAAATCATTAATTCGGATAGAAGAAAAAAGTAAGATACATATCATAAGATAGTTTTGTAGCTTTGTGGTTTTCTGTGAGCATTTTCAAAACATTTTTGAAAGTGTTTTTTTTTATATTAGAAAGCCGAGACTTTGCTCTTTTGAACGAACTACTTGAGAGATCTCTGGATTGCCCATTGATATAAAGAAAAAAGAGAAAAGATGATCGTGCGAATAATTTTTTTGTTTGAAAAACCAATTGGTTTTGAAAATGTTGACAAGAAAACCATGTGCATTAAAAGTGAGATATCAGAGTGAATGCTGGTTAAGCAAAAGTTGAATCCGATCTTTCGTACACTATGTCTCGGCTTCTCATCTTGGGTGCTTTCTTCTTTTTTATGTTGAAAATGATCCGATAAAGGTGAAATACCCAAACAAAATAAAGAATATAATGGAATTCAAACCAGCTGCAATAATGATCATGTCCAAAAATCCTTGTCCTTACAAGATTTAAAACTCTGTTTGCTTGCTTTATTTTAATATTTATCGATGAAGTATTCTTAGAATATTTTGTGTTTCAACTCGTAATAAAAGCGTATTGAAGCTATCTATAATGAGAACTTGTCTTTCATGTGTACAACGTCTCTTAATCTAATTGGGATTCCGACTTAATGTGTTGATTGACTACAAATTCGAACATGATCACCCGGAAACAAAAGATTCAGTCTCAACTGCCATGGTAAAGGTGTACTCTGGATATCAACTGATATTTCATGGTGTTTATTCATTCTTTCATTAATGAGAGATATTTTCTTTTGGTTACAATTAATAATCAGGATTAATTCATCGTTTACATCAACATTAATATCGTGCTGATTGTTATCCGTCCAAACACCATTCAAGTGACACATTTTGCTTCCTATACACCAAGCATAACTTGAACCACCATGATAACTCTTTTTATTTGTTGGAAATGTAGAGGCTATAATTCCTAACATGACACCCTTGTTTTGTGTTTGTTCAAATTTGAAACATATATGATGTTCACCAGATTCATAAAGATTGATTCCTCGAATATCTGAATAGTCTCCTTTATCGTGCACAACAGTCAGATCCTCCAAATGCGCATTTCCAGTTATCACCTTAAATCCGTCTCGCAATTGGGTTATAGCACTATTTATACCCTGAGGACTTTGTTGAATCTCTGCACTTTCGTGTATGTGAGCATGTCGAGTGTATTTAATTTTCACTTTGAGAAAATTCCTACACTCTATTTGATTATTGCTCGTTGTATCGACTAGAATTAATTCGTGTAGTTGATCTAATTTTTCTTTCAACTCTTTTAACTGATTCTTCCATTGCTCAAGTTTCACTTCGGCATAATCTTCTGTATCTTTCGCTGTTCGAAGTTCTATGGATATTTTCTGTAATTGATGATTCATGTCTTCTTCTATTTCATGGAACAAAAGTCGGACTTTGTTTCTTGCATTATCAGCAACCATGGCTACTTTCTGGAATGTTTCTGCTTCCCATGTATCGATCTGATTTAACAGCACGTCAGTTTCATTTATGTTAAAGGCAAGAGATTGCTGGGAGCGTAGTAGATTATATTCATTAGCAATGAAATCAAATTCCAGAGATAATTGTTGACGGTGTTCCATGAAATGCACGAGTGAAGGACGAACTACTGTCTTTTGCCAGCTAGAGTCTTATTCACATACTTTACAGAGAATATAGGCCATTATTTGTTTGTTGCAAATAAAAAAGTTGAAATTTAAGTTGTACACAACTATATATTTAAAAGTTGGGTGATGACTTTATAAATATGTAAACAAATTGGAATGATGTTTGGTTACTCTGAGTGGTGAATTATGCTTTTCATTCTCAAGTGTGCTCAGAACTTTTTTTCTCCCTCAATTGAAATAAACTGACACATTGAAACCGTATGTATAATACCTGATTGTACAACGTGGAATATATTGTCCTTCTCTACTGTTGCTATGTCTGCAAGTGTAGAAATTATTTCTTTTTGCTATTAATCAGAATATTTTTCAAGTTGTGCAATAACATATGATTTCTCCGACTGTGTTCACGTATATACTTGCTAAAAATTATTTAATAATGTTCCATTGAACTGTTCTTTCAATATTTATCTATTTTTGTCTAATTACATCGATTTGAACTCGTTAGAAGGTACTAATTTTGACTTGATATCTGACTTTCCATCAGTTAATAGCTGAGTCTTATCGGATATATACACACATATAGCCACCATTGGCTTATAGCTCTTGTTGTGAGCAACGAGAGCTCCTGCCGTACTTCATAGAAAAGGGTAATGAACGAATGCATGGGATGTATGGGTTGTGTCAGGTTATTCAGATGAGTGGGTATGAGGTATTGAGTTTGCCTTATGTGTCTGGAATAAAAATTCCAAGGGCATCCCACAAAAACAGTCGAAGCCACGTTTCGGTTCCAGTCAGTACTGCTTTGTGTTTGTAAGTAATTTTAATGAGTCTTAGTGCGTATACAAAAATTAAGAACCAACACCTTGGTATCGTACGTTTTCTTCTCTAATGCATAGGCGACAGTAATGAACATAATTAGTCACACGATAGCCAGTTGTTCTTCGGTAGTAGAAGAAGTAGAGAAAGAAAATAAGTTTCATTGCTAAGCAGCAAACCACATGACAGTAGAAGAGTAAACCATTGTTTGAACTAAAATTGAGTATTGGAGAGTTTGAGAAACACAGACATACCGTTTGGCACATACAAACACGCAAAAGAGTTGCAAACAAATCACCGAGTTTTACACATAAGAAATCTGTTCAAAATTTGTCCCAAGTCAAACATAAAATTTAAGAGCTTCGTGTTACGTCCAGTTACAATAATGACAAAAGGTTCATTATTACATAATATATGAAGAGCAGTCAAGACTCGTTTTTTTTCTCATACGTTTGGGAGGGGTAGAAATTTGTGAAGAACTCCATAACGACGATAGAGAACAGGAATTTGACGAAGGAGAAGCCATCTAAAATTCCTACGTGTAATTATGTTAGGCGTGAAAAGTCAAATGTAAACGCGCGCATTGACAAGCTGTTTAACATATCTTTCGGCTCGATATGAACGACAATAGTCATAGGAAATGAAATGGCAGTGACGCAACTAGGATTTTTTTTCCATAGAGTCAAAACAATTGATAGGCTTCGGTGGACAGAACTGCTACAAAAGAAAATTTTTTCCACCATTGCCAAATTTGGTACCATATTCTCCTTGATCATTGTTACCATCGCCTGAGAATGTATATATTTTTATTAATCCAGTCTGTAAAAGCAAATCTTATTATTCAATCACCTAATCGCATTTATACAACTTATTGGTGTTCTACGTCTAAGAAACAAGCATACATAATCGTGAATAAAATCAATAAGATTGAAAGAAAGTTAGTGCTTTTTGAAGTTGTCATCTCCTAAAATCAAAATACTAAATGTGTTGAGCGTTTTTGTATACACAAATTTAGTATTTCTTGTGGATCAATATAACGAATATAAACAGCAGCGCATCTATTCAATTTCAGTTCATTCATTGTCGATCTCGTGTATGATTGGAGATGAAATAGTATCTGCCTCTTTGATCACGTTCTCTTTGACGAAGATTTTTTTGTGTCCAGTCCGGGTACAAAAAAGTCTTTTTACATTTTTGTGCACGGATTTGATTGATCCGTGCCTGGTTGACGTGCGAGAAACTTTAATAGTAGAACTAGAAATGAACATGAGTTATCCTAACAGATATCGCTTGTGAGATACGTCTATATGTTTGTAACATATGTATGTAAGCATGCTATTGGTTTAATGATGCATTTTGGTTATTATATTGTAACAGACCCAGCAAAATTACAAAATTTCTCCAAACGACGTGGAAGATCCAGAAAAGTAGGAAATGCGTTGTCTGATGTTTAGTTGTTCTAATTATGTATTCACTCTGTTCTTTCTATTTCTGCCACTACCTCAGTAAATAAGTAGTGATAATAAGTTGAGATCTTTCTCATTATTATTACTAATCTAACTAAAACCGGGCACAAATCGGTCAAATCCGGGCACAAAAGTGATAAAAATATTTTTTCGTACCTGGACCGTTCTTTGCAAAGTTGTAGAACTTACAAGAAAAGTCCTAGATAATTTTTTTCCTTCTTATTTCTGCGGAAATACAGAATTCTGTCGCTTTGAGCTGGCAATGATCATTTAGGGGTTTTCTTGTAAATTCTATAACTTTTCAAAGAACGGCCGTGTAGAGCTAGGAGATGTCTCATTTTAATTAGAAATTTGTGGATTAAAATCATGCCGCATTAAGAAAAGTTTTGGTTATATGTTAGAGTTTCTGAAAAGCTGGTTTTCTATAAAACCGGATCTTCGAAGGACTAAGGGATCTCCCGATGGCCAAACCTATAACTCACTAGATTCCGATCAAAAAGCGTTTTATCACCTCGAGAGGTTTCCTCATTAGTAGAAACTGAAAGCTTGCATTTATCAATGTTATTTTTTATTTGTTAAATAAATTAAATAAACATGATATGTTGTTCAGTTCTGTGCTATTTTTATTTATGCTCTTTTAATACTGCAATTCCATTGTGAAAATTTCTAGCAAAACTTGGCCTTGTCGCTTTTCAATGGTTTATACGAGAATACTAAGTAAGTTTTGAATTTTTGTTCTCGTACGAGAGATTATAATAACTTTAATTTTTGTATAAAACGCTTTCGTTCATTGTGAGTATCTTACGATATTTTTCTTCTCTCTAAACTTCTTTGTTCAATAAAATTCTTTTCATTATTTCACCTAACACATGTACATATAACAAGTAAAACTATGATGTCCACCTAACAGTTTATTTGTATTTTCCAATGTCTGATGAAGACACAGCGTGTGCACTTCAATGGTGCAAGAACAATAACATCAAAATACTGAAAAAGTGTAATGAAAACAAATTCTAACTGTCACTCTTGGCGAAATGACGATCATAATTTAAGCTAGATATGTTTAGAGGATCTTGATCTGATGAATGACCTTGAATTGATAGCAGGATATGAGCGAACAACTCCAGAGGCCAAAGAACACTTAACTTTTTTATTTGTTTCGCGTTTTTATTTTTTGTCTCATCCTACACCGAAGGGTATCTGTGTATACTTACTACTGACTGAAGAAAACGTTTTTAACGTCGAACTCAGTGTTACTATTTTTTTGCTATAATCTCCAATAACTTTATAGCTAGCCCCTAAATTATTTAATGAGGAACAACACAATGGATAATTATTTATTGCATACACATTATAGGCTTAGTTTAAAGTTTATAATAGTCTCTTGATATTGACAGAGTCTTGATGTGATTCTTCGTAGGTTTCTTATTCTTTTTATTTTTTGTTGACTCTTGTTTACTTTCTCTAGTTGAGGTGGCGGGTCTAGTTATACCCATGAGGTTTTTTTTGATTGATCGGCTAATCGATTCGTTACAGCTCATGACGATTGGAGAGCAAACTGCGATTTCATGGTGTACATTCGCGATTATCCACCATCAAATCACAGTTTGCTCTCCAATCGTCATGAGCTGTAACGAATCGATTAGCCGATCAATCAAAAAAAACACCTCATAAGATAGGGTCACACTTTTTGCTGCTTTCCTGTGCAACAAACTGTATTTTTGTTTTTTCTATGTGGACGATTATTTGTTGCCAAAATAAACTCAGTTCAGTTAAATTCAGCTCATAATATGGTAGATTATATCTAATGTGGAATGATTGGGTCATAATGTTTATAATATGTGTACTGTGACCCTAGATAGCACATTGTGAGTACTATCCATTGCAATTAGCCCGATTTCACTGTAGACACAAACCTCGGAGAACTGTACGTCACAAAAGTGTACCTCAGAACGCCGTTTCGCCCTTATATGGCAACATGATGGATGAAAGAGATACGTAATATTTGTATGTCGGTCGATAGTGGACATCGAGTACTATCTACCCTGAAAAAATTGTGGTTTCATTTCTTATAGCTCCCGGGTAATCAAGAATTTACGATATTTTTAAGATAAGTTCTCGAATTTTGCTTGTATGGAAAAAATCGTGTATACCAGGAAGAGTACACTAAGGCCAAACACTTTTGATTTATAGGTTGTCACAAATGTTCTACATAATGGAATTGGTTTGTTCTACATAATGGAAATGGTCAAAATATGAACAGGATTTCGTATGTTAAAATTCTCTAAATTAAATTAATTTCTACAATTCTCATTTATATCCATATTTTTCTTCTTTATTAATTTTTTATTATCAACAATATATAACTAAAACATCAAGCAAACCAATAAGTCAAACATGTTGTTTGAATACAAAACAGAAAAATAATTATTTTAAGTACAAATTTATTCAAAAAAAAGTTTGAAATTTTGTTTTTAATTCTTCATCTTGATTAGTATTATTCGTCTGTTGTTGTTGTTGCCTATTCCATTCAGCCCATTCAAGCGAGGATAAATCATCTGGTTCACTAACGGGTTGTTCAATCCACTGACGCCGTTGACAAAATTCAAATCCAAGAAATAGTACAGCTAACATTGTATATCCAGTTGTAAATTTCCATCCATAATCGTCTTTTCGATACAAAACACCAACACCACTGGCATTGATTAAACCGAAAAATGCAAATAGACCCGCTAGTAAACTCCAAACGCAAGCATAAATAAACTTTCGATCAATTATATACATCATAATAGCTGTCAAGAAAATGCATTGTAATAGGGCACCACCACTAAAATTTACTAATCCTTGGTAGTTGAAACCAGTAATAGACGATTGTGCTTGACTGAATGTCATATTTGATTTTGAATATGCTGACGCCACTCCATTCGCTATCGTACCATTAGCCCAATCGGCTATGACAGGCATAAGTCCGATTAAAAATGCCGGATAATGTCGTTTCGGAGTAATGGATAAAGTATCTACACATATAACAACACCAATAAACACAAGAATTGGATTGATAGATACAGTAGCTATAACTGATACTAATAATCCACTTATACCGAAAAAACAGAATGGTAAAAATGCTAGGCCGTTCAAAAGTGAATAACCTTGTCGAGCTCCCATTTTCTTCAATGCTGGATGACCTACCTATATAAGCTTTCAAAAGAAAAAGAAAAGAAATCGTGACAATGTTGATCAAAGTCTACTTTTGCATTTCTTTGAAAATAGCTGCGCAAAGTCATGTATAAGTGTCATGAAATAAAAGACTAAAATACGCCTATTTCATGTGTTTTGGAAAGTTTTGAGAAACCTCTGCTATGAACAAAAGAGTTTTCGAAAGCCGTTTTACACATGTTGTAAATTTTTCAATAATTGATACTTCAATACAGTTGTCATCTTTACAAATTTTATTGGATTATTCCGATACGAATATAGCACAAGTTGTTAATTACATATAGTTTTTACTAAATTTTTATTCAAATAATCATTATTTTCAGCAGCTAAACGTTTCTACGTTTACCAACGTCTTCATCCGTAGCATAACTTTTAGAAAAACTTGACAGCGAAATTAAAATAACACACGTCTGCAGCCAGATTTTTGATATTTCACTTTTCAAATTAAGATCAGCGTCAAAGGTCCAATTTGCGAAAAGATCTCACTAACTTGCACTTCCATAAAGATTTCATTTTTTATTATTTTTCTAACCACAAATCCACAGCGAATATCAAAAATCGGGCTCTATTAGCCTCTAGCCACATGTGTTAACTTCAGTTTAAGAGCTTCTGGACCTCTCTTCGACGTTTCGTTACTGAGAAATCCTGCAGCTACGAAACGGTGTTAAGGTGAAAGTCGCTTTCGAGATATGGAAGCGCCAGTATCTGATGCAAGCTTTAGGGCTTCCAGTGAAACTCTCATAACTCTTGATTAGAACATCATTCAGAGCTGGGAGATATCTCATTTTGATCAAAAATGTTTACTCTATTTTCTAATGTTTTTGAAAGTATTTTTAGATCTGCTTTCTTACCAGAAAGTAAATTTGTTTCGAAAGTCAGCCTTTTTAAGGCTTCAGAAAACTTTTCTAAAATCCTTCATACCTCTTCGATGAGGACCAAATAACGTTACATTCTGATAGTAGGTACTGTTGGCTATCTGAGGATATGTTTAGCTCAATATCGACTTTTTATAAAAAGTTATATGTTTCTGAGGGGGGATGAGGGCTTAGGCAGAAGCTGAGTATATGAGTATATAGAATATAGCATCGTTTCGAATAAAAGTCTTCTTTTGATTGCTCATCTTCGAAGAAGAACAAAACTACTAGCTATTTTTAGTCACAGAAGGTTATTTTAAGCCACTCCAGCAGACTTCATGAGATTTCAATAGGCTCCAGTGGACTTCAAGACTTCAGGGGACTTCGAAGTCCTGAAGTCCGCTTTTTCCTCTTATGTACTCCACTACTTGAAGTCAATAGTTTCTATCCTATTCACAGTCATCATGATAGTACATTCAAAGAGCTTTCATTTGATGTACGGAATATCAATGAAATATGTTTCCATCACAGAAATAAACTGTTCTAATTTAGAATGATCAGAGTGTTGAATAATTTCACACTAATGTCATCACTTTTCCAGACATTTTCTACTTTAAAAATCATACCAGAGTTTTCTTCTTAAATTCTCCTCTTGTCCTGTATGTACACTGGAAAACCGTATTTAAAGTGATAGTAATTGACTCTCCAGTGCAGGAGGGAAATATTTCGCCTTTACAGATAAGTTATTGACGGCTTGTCTTTGAAAACTAATATCTCCTTTTCCAACTGATTGGTGGACACTGTTCTTATATATTTCTGCTCTTTCTAATGGAAAAAGAATTAAGTTTACACCATGCTTCAGGACTGAGATATGGAGTAAACAAAAAAGGGACAAAGCTTTTGCATGACCCGTTATGCTTAGAAGTAAATTGTTCGTTATGGGTCATAACTGTAGATTTAACATCGAACTACAGACGTGTGTTATTTTAATGTTATTGTCAAGTTTTTCTAAAATTATGCTACGGACGAAGACGTTGGTAAACGTCGAAACGTTTAGTTGCTAATAATAATTGTACAAATTAAAGTATAGTAAAAACTATATTTTATTAACCAGCGGTGAGAGTAAAAAAATCAAGATACTTGCCAGGTTTTTCGGATGAGCGCCTAAAATTTTTCAGGTTTTTTCAAAAAACTTCAGAAGCCCAGAAAATAATTTCATTCGACAGATTGAACCATTCTTTTGTAACAATGTTCATGATACTCTACTTTTTTGTTCTTTAGGGATATCTGAAGGGAGGATTTGTAAGGGATACGAAGCATCACGCAAAGTACTCATAACACAGTCAAAAAATAAAGCGATTTTTTATGATCTTATTGGATAAAGCGTCCAAATTTACCCATAAACCCAAGTTTTTAAACATTATTCATAGTTAGAATGAAAAATTGATCAAATTGATTTAACTGAACACGCACTATTTTCCTGGAAATTTTCAGTCTTAGTTTCTTAAGCAGCTAAATTTTGACACAATAATTTTGCTGTCGATTTCTGAAACTACTTTATCCTAAGACAAAAATCTTTTCATAGAAAGTGGGAAACAAAAACATGCAAAAATGCATTATTCAGCACAGTTTTTCTTGCTGGCTGCAAATATCATATTATTTTGACTTGCAAATACTTTTCTAGATCGAAAACCTGGATAATAATTTTTCATTTCATTTGTTTTTCTAACCAATTCTAGTTGCTATAGTTTTATTTTAACCAAACATGTAGCTTTCGTTTCAATATTTTAGTATTCATCTTGGCAACTCACCATGACTTGAAAAGGTGTTGGGGACTAACCATTTGACCTAACCATAAAATCAAGAGTCTTTTGTTCTCAATGAGAGAACAACACAAGGATAGCGTCGAAGATGTTATAGCTACAAGATACAACTAATGAATAGCAGCACATAGATTGATATTATCTACTATTCATATCATGGCGATACCTGTCCGTCGTACTCAAAAGATTCGCTTGAAAATTGAATAAATATATATTTCAGTCCAACTGAACGTTAAATTCTGCCGAAAGTGAGTACTGGTGTTGTTTGATGTACCCATGTCTATATGATCCTGGTAATTCGAAGGATTACTCTTCAAAGAATTAAAATAAAGAATTAAGCCGACCGAAAACCTAGGCCATGACTTAACAACAAAGATTTGTGTTCAATATTTCTACTACTGCTGAATTATTCAATCTTACGAGGGAAGTGCCCTAACTGATAAATCGCTTTTTCAACGAAACCGAGTGGACTATAGGTAGTCGACGATGCTGATTCCGAATATCACCATGAATGCTGCTGATAGGCCTTCAAGAACCGATCTTCTCGAAAACTGGTTTTCCAGAAGATCG